GGCGGCAGGGTCGCCATCGTCGGCATTATCATTGTCGCCATCGTCGTACAGCGTACCCATGATGGGAGTCTCCAAGCCTGGGGGATCGTCCGTAGGGTTTTAGGGTTGAGTTGGTTAAGGTGGTTAAATACACGCACCAATGCTGCCAGGGGTAACGGTTTCCAGACCCTTTTCCCCCGATGCACCTACAGTATCCGTGAACGTCATGGTACGTAACATTGACGAGCACGCCGTCCTTGTAGTACGGGTACACCACCACACGCTCCAGCAGGGTCCCCGGCTGCAGGGGATGGGGCACGCGCCGTGTCTGGAACACACCCGCGACGCGCAGTGTTTCCGGGCGGATGCCGCGGGCCGCGAAGTACGCCAGGGCGTCTGCCGATGCAGTGCGGAGGGGTAGGGAGGGGAAGGGAGGGCGGAAGGGGAGGAAGGGGTAGGGAGGGGAAGGGAGGGCGGAAGGGGAGGAAGGGGTAGGGAGGGGAAGGGAGGGCGGAAGGGGAGGAAGGGGTAGGGGGGGAAGGGAGGGCGGAAGGGGAGGAAGGGAGAATCATATGTGAGAATGTGGGAAGTGAGCTGCCGCAAGACGTCCAAAAGGTCCGGAACTGCCCCCAGGGAGTCCTAAGCGATGATGACGTCACCGACCCCCCAGTGGTTTCGGAACTAAAACCCCATATATTACGTTACCGACACTTTATGTGTTATAGTGGTCGTGTCTGGCCTCGTAAGACTGTCGTTGAGGCCCTATTGATATGCAGCGCAGTGCGGACGAGCTGTATCCGCTCTAGGTACTGGAAGGATGTGTGCCAGTGGTGGTGGCAAAGATCAAGTCTGGCTATAACTTTGTCACTATCTCAAACAGTGAATGGGATATGTGCCCGGAACCTCAAGTTGAAGGAAACCGCGTTGAGCAGCGGTGGTACACAAAGCTGCAGGCTTACCTAGACCTCGCACAAGGGCAGTAGCCACGACGACCCCGCAGCATTGGCCAGAAAATATACGAAGGAAACGAAAGAAAGGTTAGCAAGGTGGGAAAAAACAAGATATGACAGCTGGGATGAAAGAGCGGAAGCACGAAAGGTATGTACAGCAATACGGAAGGTATGTACAGCAATACGGAAGGTATGTACAGCAATACGGAAGGTATGTACAGCAATACGGAAGGTATGTACAGCAATACGGAAGGTATGTACAGCAATACGGAAGGGAAATACAGCAATACGGAAGGGGTGTACAGCAATACGGAAGGGATGTACAGCAATACGGAAGGTATGTACAGCAATACGGAAGGGATGTACAGCAATATGGAAGGGGTGTACAGCAATACGGAAGAGATGTACAGCAATATGGAAGGGGTGTACAGCAATACGGAAGGGATGTACAGCAATATGGAAGGGGTGTACAGCAATATGGAAGGGGTGTACAGCAATACGGAAGGGATGTACAGCAATATGGAAGGGGTGTACAGCAATACGGAAGGGATGTACAGCAATATGGAAGGGGTGTACAGCAATACGGAAGGGATGTACAGCAATATGGAAGGGGTGTACAGCAATACGGAAGGTATGTACAGCAAAGGAGAAGGAAGAAACGCAATCAAAACAAAACAAGCAAGCTCAAGCTCAAGTCCAGGGGAGGGGAGAGAGTGGGGTTTGAGGCAGGGGAGGAAGGGGGAGGGGCGTGTAGAAAAATGCTTAGAAACCAAACCCAACTTAAAAACACATCCCACTCCTTCCCACATCCGAAAAGACAGCCTGGACGACAGCACCCATAATGATAACCCACCCATCCACACAGCCCCGCGCCCGCCTCGCACAGCCGTGGCCCTCTCATGCACCGCCACAACCCACCTTCGTCCAGCTCCTCTCGCTTGCCTTCATCAACCCCCAGATCCTGTGGCTTCGGTGCTGCCTGCCGTACATCCCTCCTCTGCAGGCCCCTCCGTACAGACTCGGCCCACACCGTCTCCTCCACGCCGCACTTATTGGACCGCCAGCAGCGGTAGTAGACGAAGTGGGCGTCTGATGCGTGAGGGCGTACGTACGCATTTATGTACGTACGTACGTACGTACGTACGTATGTATGTATGTATGTATGTATGTATGTATGTATGTATGTATGTATGTATGTATGTATGTATGTATGTATGTATGTATGTATGTATGTATGTATGTATGTATGTATGTATGTATGTATGTATGAGGGAACAACGTGCGGTTCGCTTCTCAGGAAGGTGGCGGTGCGCGGGACCAGCCGACCCCAGCTCCCGAGAGCCGTAATCCCACATGCCGATGAGGTGAATCTGTATGATCCCCTCAACACCTCTAGCAAAGAGGATATCCCGTTTCCCTTCCTCTCTTCCTCCCTCCTCCTTGCCTCCCTCCCTCCCTCCCTCCCTTCCTCCCTCCCTCCCTGCCCCCTCCCTTCCCGGCCCATCCCTCTCGAAGGAACCCCCCTCCCCTCTCCGCACCTTCCGACACAATCAGATTGAAGGACAGCGGCTCCCGACCTTCATCACCCCCACAGAAGGGACAGAGCCCCCGGTGCCACTCCCCGGGCAGCACATCCTCGGGCAAGTCTACACCCCGATCAGCCAGCTGAGACCGCAACTCCGATAACAACGACGTCTGCCGCCGCTGCTGCTGCTGCTCCTGATAGTTATGGCCATCCCCGGCGGGATTCCCTGGAGCCGCTGGCGTTGGCGTTGGCGGTGGCGGTGGCGGCCACCCGCGGTTCGTTGTGGGTTGTCCGGCAGCAGCAGCGGTGAAAGACCCGGCTCCAAGCTGTGACGTCGGTGTCGCGGCAGAGGCGGAGGTGGAGGCGGAAGCAGGGGTGGCGGCGAGCCGTCCCGGTGGACGTGGTGCATGTCCTCCTACCTGGTGGTTGGTGGTTCTGTTGGGGTGGCGGCAGCCGCGGGTGGAGGTAGCGGCGGAGTCATGGAGGGTGGTCCAGGTAGTGGTCGCGGCGGTGGTCGTGAGGGAGGCCGTGTGTCGGGCGGTGCAGGAGGGGGGACCGCGGAAGGGGGACATCAGGCGGTGCGTGAGGTGCGTGAGGTGATGGCGACGGCGGGCAGGACACAGTGGGAGCCCCGCCGGCCTCAGCGCCGCCGCTCGTGAAGCCACGGAAGATGACAGAGGCCCACGGACGCAGGGACGCTGGGCCCCGCCGGTGATGATGGTAGCCCAGGCACTGCCGCCGCCGCCGCTGGCGCACCGGCCCATTGCCGAGAAAGGAGAGTTGCCGGCGGGGAGTTGTGGGGAGGAGGCGGCGGGTGGCTCTGCTGTGGGGGCAGCAGTCGCAGCAGATTCGGCGAGGTAGGACGGCTCGAAGACCAAAGCCGTGTTGGTGAGGCCGGGGGAATAACCCGGGTTCAAGGAAAGTAGAGGGTTGGTAGTGGACGCGGCAAGCCACGGAGGCTGATGGCCTTGGCGAAGTCGCCATGGTTGGGGACGTGGCGGGGAAGAGGTGTAATATGGAGTAATGGGGTATTGCAGTATGCTGCTCGGCAGATGCATGGCGCGCTGACGATCACACAGCTGCGTGTTAAGGCTGTCGTTGGCGGTTCCACCAGGGCCTTCTGAACTCCGACTGTTGCAGCACACAGCAGCAAGAGTGCCAGATATGATGGTAGTCGTGTGTGAAGGATGAGATTAAACTAAAAAGCAAACAGCGACAATTTTGTGCACGGGTAGACTCGCGAGGTCATGCACGAAATGTTTTCTACATGATATCTAAGTTCCCAAATAAATTTTTGTTTCATGGATAAAAGTGACACGATTAATTAATAGTGTGCAGTTGAAAGAGGAGAGGGCTCCGGCCGACGTGTCGGCAACTCGGCACCCAGAAAGATTGTACAAAGGTGCGACTCGTTACAAGAGGGATCTTCGACTTCTAGAGAACCGAGCCGCATGACTTGCGGGGCCGCCTTGGATGTTTCAGTCTCGGCCTTCATCGTTGTCAGTTGACAAAGTACCGAAATTCGCGAAATCCAAATTGTTACTAAAAACGTTATTCTCAACAGCCTGGTACACCGTCCGCCTAACAACAACACCGACATCCAAATAAAGCAGCTGCCCACAGCGCAAACGTTTTTCCCGACTTAAAAGCCAGGTGGAAGGTTGAAGCAGCATAGCTGGCTTTTTACGTGCCGCTTTCCTCTGCATCCCGTAAGAGTTCTTCCAGAGAGTTTCTTCGTCCATTAACGTAGGCATGGATGCATGGCCGCCCAGTTGTAGCCTTGTCCTTGCACCTCTTGCAGCCCACACAATTTCACGGATTAGTGACAAACGACAACGTTGTCGTTGGGCCACTGTGCAGCTTCACTGGAGAAGCCGCCCGCTGCCAACAAGGTATCTTACTGCCCGCTGGTGGGCTCTCTTAGCCACCTATCGGTGTAGGCAAGATGGAGCTTATAGCACATTCCGTTTTCTTCGCCACATCGTGAAACCCTAAAGCTCCCTCCTTGGCCCAACAAACACCGACCACATTATCATACATCCCACAGCTTTAACCGTCCAATCACGCCATAAGCTTATTTGTTTGGTTTGCAAGGGTGTTATGCATAATGGCTTTGACCGGATGGTTCCACAGCATGCACAGCAGGGCTGGATTGCGGGTAAGGAGACGAACAACATTCCTCGTCGTTCACAGCCACTCGCAACTCCTAGACGCCTGCTTGGCCTCGCGATACCCATCACCCTTCCATCAGCACAGCCAACCCCGCCCTCCCCAGAGAAGACGGTCACTCGAAGCCAGTGATCTCCCCGATGTTCCACTTGAACCGTTGCCGTACCGGGTGCAGTTCACACAGCACCAGGATGGGGTTGCAGTCCACCCATTTCTCAAAGTCCAGGATACCGAAGAGGTTACCGGCGCCAGGTCGGCCTCCACACCCGCGTGCAGTGTCTCACTGCTGGTCATGTCCCCAGTGGTGCTGACGATAGTGCCCACCATCCCCGCATGGAAAGGAACCAGCGGCGTCTGCATGGCGCCCCCGTCAGTCGACATCGGTGATGTTGGCACTTGCGGTGTTAGCAATTGTGCAGCATGGGGAAAGGTGGAAGGGCCGGTGATGGCATCTGTGTTGCCACTGCTGTCACCCAGGCCTGTACTCTGCAGCAGCAGTGCGATGCACTCTGGATGCAGACAGCAGGACCCCGAAAGCACCAGGAGCTCACCTTTTTTGCCAAATGCTGCACTTGTGCACCACACATGCATGCATGTGTGTATGTGTGTGTACATGCATGCACGTGTGTGTATGTGTGAATTTGTGTATGCGTGTGTGTGGGTTGGGAAGGGGCCAGGCAGGGTGGGGGCATGCTGGGACTTAGCTAATGTGGTAGGTGGGGTCCGTACCCGTGGGGTCCTGTACACCGCGGTGGGTGGGCAGCCAGCTGGATGCACAGGCAGGCAGCTAGACAGGGAGAGGATCACACAGCTCTCAGCCAGCCACGGTTCCAACCAGCCATCCCCTTCCTGCTCACAGCTTGATAAGCGGAAAGTTCAGATGTGGTACAAAGGTACCCGTTGCTGTTATCGTGACCGTCTGATGGCCCATCCATCTCCTCCTCCATCGTCTTCCTCCTCTGGCTGCAGCAGCTGCTTCTGCCCCACTGGTGGTGGTGGCGGTAGCAGTCCCTGGTCCAACAGCTCTACCAGGGCTGCCTCCATCAGGGTGCTGCTGCGAGGATGGGGGACCACCGCCCCAATTTACAAAACTTATGCTCAGACAGCCGTCTCCCAGTCTCCATGGTGGTTGTGAAGCCCCTCTCCGGGGGACACCCTGGGGGTTCACCTTGTGACATCAAGCAGTGCTCCTGCTCGACTGCTGATGAGAGGCGCTTCAAGATTCCTTACAAAGGTGGCCCGCTGGCCTGGCGACCAGGCCTGCATGTTGACCTGTGGGGGGAAAACCCCCGGTGTGGAGGGCGGGAAGGGAGAGGGGGGCTCAGGGCTGACAAGATGTCGGGGAAGCTTCGTTAGCAGCCCCACGGCAGCGGTAGTCAGCAGAGTAATGGTGAATGAAGGGCCAATCCACTGCGTGTATGTGGGTGGGTCACGGTGCCGCCTTCTTTGGACTTTCCTTGGAAGTGATCACCCCAGGCCGTATACACCCCAGCAGCCCAGATACATGGCTGTGTGGCCCATTGGTACACCCCCAGCTACACACTTCAAAAGCCAAGCTGCAGTCGGGCCGCCACACTTCAACTGGACCCGTAACCTTAGAAGTCATAAGCCCCGACCGGCAGTTGTACCGACTTGAATTGGTACCCCTGTGGAACGTGGACCTGAACCTGCATGTCATGCTCTACGATGGCCGCTGCCTGGAAGTCGCTTGCCAGTCCTTCCCCAGTGCCCATGTCTCATCCGTGCCGTCAGGGCCTGTCAAGTTAGCATCAGCAGGTTGCCGTGGAAACGGCAACCCAGCTGCTCATGATTTAGTGGGAAGAGCTGCAGCTTAATGGCCACAACAGGGAGCTTCTGGGGTTGGGGCCCCATGAGTGCGTGGTTGGGTGGTGGGATGGATGGGAGAACGTGTGTGTGTGTGTGTGTGTGTATATTTGTTACATATCGATCTGGGCCTGACACTGGCCAGGGTCACCTAACCGTTTCCCAATAGGAGTGACTGTCAAAGCACTCCGTTACTGGAGGGGCATTATATCGGTCAGAATTCTAACCATTCTCCCTTATCAACGCAAGGCGCCAACACCTGCTCAAATCCTCTCGCCAGCTACATACACCAGCTCCAGTGTCACAGCTCCACTTCCATTCTACCGAGTGCCGCTCTAGAACTGCACGATCTAAAAATGCACTCACACACCGTTGCCAATCGCCACCCTAACCCTGTGAATCCTGGCACAGCCCGGTTTCACTATCCAACAACCATCTGATATACAGCCTGGTCCATATGCAGGATTATTCCTCCGCCACTGCTTTGCTGCAGTGTATTGATTTTCACGGTGAGCTCCCCTTCAGCCACCTAGCACACTGGAGGAACCCAGTGTCTCCAGCATTCGACACCCCGATCTACTTTACCCGGGGGACCAGCGGCGGGACCCGAACCCACATCTTCCGATAAAGCTAGATCCTGTCTCTCTGTGTGTGTGTGGTGAAGGAGAACCTTGCTAGGTAGGCAAGTGTATCGGGCACGTTCATTCCTGAAAGGGCATTGAGAGAATAACTTAACCAGGTGCTGCTATCCTGCTGGTCTCAAAGCAATCCTTTCGCACCTCATCTGCTTGCCATCCATCAATTGAAGTTGTTCAGAGTTGTTCATGCAATTCCTCGCCTCTCCCTCGCCTCTCCCTCGCAGGTTCTCTCACGACCTCAGGGTCCACAACACACACACACACACACACACACACACACACACACACACACACACACACACACACACACACACACACACACACACACACACACACACACACACACACACACACACACACACACACACACACACACACACACACACACACACACACACACACACACACACACACACACACACACACACATCATTGGATGGACAAGCAGCGTCACGCTGAATGCTGGGTTGTAATGACTCGCCCTGCCGCCACCGTTGCCGCCGCCGCCATTGCCGCCGCCGCCATTGCCGCCGCCGCCATTGCCACACCGGGCCCTGCCGTAGGTGTTGGTACAGTCGCTGCCGTGCTGCCACCGCTGCTGCCGCCATGACCCTTTGGCACCTGAGAGGCCCCAAATCTTACTGGTTCTATCTCCACCACCTGCCCCAGCGCCTGAATCATCTGCCGTGTGAGCGGGCATAAGTTCAGCAATGTCGCAAGCTCGTCGCCCCCCTCGCCCTTGCCGTCGGCGGTGGCGTCGCCTCCATCCTACATGGGTAGGATGGTGCTTATAGGCGATCTGGTAGCCCTTGATCCCTCGGCTCGTATTTGGGCGGTTTGCAGGTACAGGGAACGCACCCACGACCATGTAACACACACACGCACATGGGCACCTGCAGCAGGTGTAGGTACACCCTGTCTCCCTGCATGCGGGTGTGTTGCAGGACGTCGGCAGTACCACAGACAGAGCCCGCGTGCGGACACGGCCCACCGCCAACGGACTAGTCCCTGTGTACGACTGTACGACTAGGGGTAAACGCTTGGACTCGGGCCCCTCTGGTGGCGGAGCCTCAACATTGGGCCGGGTGGCCAGAAGCCTGTGCAGCTTTTTGTGAAACATGACGCTGACTGGCGCTGACTAGTTTACGGCAGTGCAGTTCCCGAACATTCAATGTGGTTGTGGTGGAAGAACCGGACCTCAAGGCTGGAAATTGCTGTAGTCAAGGTTAACTCGCTTGCTGTGCTCGACGGTTTGCGCATCAGGCAACACTAACGGCTGGCCTTGTGCCCAACGTGGGAGTGCCCAACGTTCGGCTTCTTTAGCGCGCAACGGTTAACAAGGTTGTGTTCGTGTTGTAAACCCGTCGTTGCAAACCCTTTTGCGGCTTTGCTTATTGAATATAGTTCCCGTCGGTGCGCAGTTGCTAGGCACGAGGTATTGAACGCAATGCATTAGAGCGAAACACGCCCACGGGGTTCGCGCCAACGATGACGCCACCTAACCCTTGACGATTGGTACCCAACGGTTCAACTTAGGGTATGCTCTTCCTCGTTGCATAGCTGGAGCAGAGGTCGGCAAACCGCTTTCCCGGCTGTGGGAGGGCATAATTTCGGTCAGTAAACCTAAAAAATTCGAAGTCAAACACAGAGTTCAAGTCCAGCGCGCGACCCTACGGGCCGCAGTAGAGCGCTTTCCTTGCCTTCCAATCCATGCAGAGGCAAGTCTACAGCGCAGGATTTCCGCTCGGCCGCTGGTAATTTCGTAACTCTCATACTCATGTCTGAGTTTTTGCAGTGGCGGCTCATGCGCGACGCAAAGCTACTTCTCTTATAAACATCTACCTTATCATTCTAGTATTCCATAAGATCGACGGATCATTTCCTGGTCCCTTTTGTGTTTTCCGACATTTGCCGTAGAGGGTTCATTTTTGTGTGTTGGGTCATTCAATCGCAGCATTTCTTGGGAAATGGTTTCGGGTACATAAATCGAGCATGATTGAAGGCGTACGCTTAGGAAATAGACCATATGATAAATGTCACCGTCATCAGTGGTTAAACTTTTTCTTGGCGCCAAGTTCTGCTGAGACGCGTGAGTAAGCTCAAAGCTAACAACGGCACCCATAACGTCTCGCGCGCCTCACGGCAAGCTGCGGTAACGGTGGATGCTTTGCGTAGCGCTCAGTCCACAGGTAAGGTTCAGCATGGAAAAGGCAATGGCAGGAACATAAGCGTTATGAAGCTTAAAAGAAATATGAGCTGCACATGGAAAAAACTTGGAGTCGGAGGGCATCGATCCCCCTACCTCCCGCATATTCGGGCGCATTAGCGTTTTGCTAAGCGGGCGCTCTACCATTTGAGCTACGACCCCAGATGACAATATTTGGGATTTTCCCATTTATAACGAACAAACAGGTGGCCATCGGTTCGATGCGCGGCGTTTAGCATGTAGGGGTTCTGACACATCCGTAGTCTACACACTCACACTCATGTAACAACGAATGTGGGGGTTAATGAATTCTACACTCCGTGATTTAGAGCTCCTACAAGGCCAACGCTGTGGTGGCCCTTTAGGTTTGTCCCGTTTAGGGTTGTCATCCCCTACTTTAGGGGTGTCCCTTTTAGGGTTGTCATCCCCTAAAGGGGAACTAAGGGGTTGTCCCCTAAAGGGTTTCCAAAGTCTCCATCCCCTTTAGGGGAACCAAAGGCATCCCCTAAAGGGGAACAAGAAGGGAAAAACAAAAAGGGTTTCCAAAGGGTTGTCTGTCCCCTTTAGTGTTCTTCTTCCCCTTTGGTTCCCCTTTAGGGGATGACCTAAAGTTCCACACTCAGTTCACACACCGGGAGTGTCATGGTCTGCTGTCTCGAGCCCCACGCTCCATGGTGTTGAGCCCCAGGATACCCGTAGGGCTGCTAAGCCGTACAGTCCAGGCTTGCAAGGGAGTGGGACAGGTTCCACTGCCGAGCAGGGCAGTTCTGAAATGTGTAGCCCTCAAAAAACATGCAATTAATACATAGGAAGCTGGAGCCCTGATATGAAGAAAGCAGATTTCCCAATGAAACATCAGACCAGATCAAGGAAAACAGACTCGGCCAGCGTTTAAGCAATGTGTCTTTGAAGTCATTGTCGATCTGGAGTCGATCGTTCTGGAAACGGCCCCAGGACATGTCGAGGTGTGCACTACAAACGCTCAACTACCAATGAATTGCACCGTTCAGTGGGGATCTGGAAAATAAACGAATGACGCGGTGGCAGTCGTGTGCACGCCACACTGCTGGGCCCCATGGTCTGAGTGCTTGTGTGACCCATTGTTGGTTACTGATAGACAAGGTGGGTTACTGTTAGAAGGCAGGTAACAATCAAGTAAACAGTGCGTTAGAGCAGCAGCAGTGATGCCAGACGGTTCTGATTCCTACGTTTCACACTCCAGAGTTCCTTATGTTTGGCTCTTGCGCCACATGCTCCACGCAGTGCTGGCCCACCCACTTAACGCTCCGGAGCCTCATGCCAATCTGGGTTCAATCATTTTGGGTACGACCCCAGGAGAATGATCACCACACTCTGTGGTGCTGAGCCCCATGTTCCTTGTTCCCCAGCCCCATGCTCCCTGCTTGCAGGCCCCGAACCCCACACTCCGCACTCCTGAGCCCCACATCCTATCATCTGGCTCTTGTCCTTGTAGTAATGGTGGTGACGGATGTATGTTCCACATGGCGTGCCACCCGTCCAACAGTTTCAAATACAGTGTCCGTACAAGTGCAGAGGGGTCCGTGATAGCCTGGGGGGCTCATGGGACCTTCAAGTTAATTAATTTTACAGTGGAGGTGGAGGCAATCTACGTCAACGTCTTTCCGCCCCCATCAGAGTGCAAGGCGCCAGAGCACTGCATGTCAGTGTCCCAGATCATTTCAGGGTGAAAGGTAGGTGGTGTCTGTTCTTGGGGAAGCTTAAAATATATGCATGAGGATATCATGATGTGCAGGAGGATATCAAAAGTGCCGTAATTATACATCTGATCTGCCGTCGAGCCTACCAGGGATCGAACCTGGAATCTCCGGTTCCGTAGACCGGCGCTTTATCCATTAAGCCATAGGCCCTTACTGTCGTACACATGGAGAACACGTGGATGTTGGAGTGCTGTTAAGGTAAATGTCTATCCTAGCTAACGAGAAGGTTACTTCAATAAAGATAAAGACAACTAAGCCACGTATTTTTATTACCCTAGTGGGTACACACGAACTTGCAGGTGATAGCAAAGAATGAGCCAGTTCGCTTGGGCTAGTTTTCCGCCTAAGCGCATAACAAGTAGTGGATTTAGATTCTGCCTTTTTAATGTACTACTACACATATAAGTAAGGGAGCCTACGGCTCTATGTATCTGAAGAAAGCGGTGCCTATCGTTTGGATGCACGGCCAGCCGGCTGAGATGACGTGTGAACAAGTTGCTGGCCTCCGGAGCAAGTGTGTGCACGTCCGGGGCCGGTGTGGGAACAGCTGTGCCACAGTCCATCTCACACCAATCCGTGCTGCTGCTGTGACGGCTGTTGTTGCTGCTGCTGCTGCCGCTGCTCTGGCTGCTGTGGCTGCTGGGCCAGGGATGCTGAATCACGGCTGGGGCCACGGCATCTGACATGGACAGACGCCGCTCAGCCTGCAGAGCATGCTTGCAGAAGCACCGGAGGTCCTGCTGATCCGATTAGTCATCACGGTCCGGAAACGGCACCTGTATGACCGCTGGCGGCTGATTGGTGCTCACAGGGGGCGTCGACCCTGTGAAAGGCCGCCAGCGCCTGCCATGGAAAACATATGCAGCTGGGGTGCACTCATACGGCTCCGACAGGAGCTGGCAGACGACGCCCTCCATGATGTCCGCAATGTGGTGGTGAAGTGCTGTCAGCTCGGTGTCCATTTTGAGGCCTGCCTGCATGTCTCTGCCTGCTGTGCTGCCACTGAAGATGCTCTTGATGGTGGCTATTCGGAAAGCTGGCACCACCGCTTCACTGTGGAAATTCAAGGCACGGTGGCCGCTCTCCTCCACCTTGTAGGACAGGTACTGCACCGTTCCCATGTAGCAGCGGGGCTCACACTGCACCTTGTCACCCGCCCGGAACCCAAAAATGATCCTCAGAACCGCACTCACCACCACCCGCAAATATGTGGTGCAAAGCTGGGGGTATGCTGCCATTCGTCGCAGGCACCTGTGCATGTCCTGGCTGTGCAGCGGTCGCCCATCAGACATGCAGGGTGCCACCTCGCCAGTGCTGATTATCATGATCCGGTTGCTGACATCATCGGGGTTGACATTGAAGTGTACGGTATGGCAACCCACAGCCATATCCAGAGCAGCGGCTTTCATGCACCCCGCACTGTACATCGCATTCATGCTCTCCACATGCAAGCCCATGGCCTGTACTGCGGCCGCGAAGGACCCCACCACAGCCAGGATCCGCTGCATCACCTCTCCGCCCAGCGTCACCGTGGCCACCTTCATCTTTTCATGTGTGAGGCCCACCACGGTGCAGGTGGTGAGGCTATTTACGGACCACAATGGCGGCCTGACGGCTGGCATCGTGCAGCATCTTGGTGTCGAGTAGGATGCCCAGGGCCTCCCTGCTCTGTGCCAGAAGGTGCCGGCCCATGCCAGGTGCCAGTGGTGCACCCCGATAGTGCATCTGCTGGCAGAACAATGTGCCGTATTCCACCAATCCGAAAGGAAAACACTGTGGGCTCGTGATGTTTAAGAAGGTGCTGTAGTTGGTGCTGTAGTTGGTGCCACACCCAGGCCGCCTGCACAATCGACGAGGACATGCTCCAATGCAGCCTCCCAGGCATCAGGGTCCCGGATGGTCTGTACACCCTCCAAGCTGTCATACGTCGGTGCTACATTCACAGAAGAAAGTCATCCAGCACACCCTCGTTGACCGGCTCCGCCGTTGATCCTGACCAGCAGTGGATGTAATCATTACTGCTAATAAAAGATCTGTTCGTGATTACATTGCAAGTCCTAATGGCCGAAATGCATCAATTGTCAGCAGTTGACTTATATTTGACACTACATCATGACACTACATCATGGTTTACCCAGCGAACATCACATAGGTACTGACTTGAGTCTGTCAAGTCGGCTGTACTGCTTCAACCATCGCATTCATCCCAGTCACCACTTCCATGACAGCAGCTTCGGCTGCAGTCAATGCACCTCCCTCCATGTGCACCTCGCGGCCCTCCATTTCCTGCTGGATACACGCACTGCCATCACGAGCCTCCAGCCATATCTCCCGCAGCTGGCGAGCAGCTTCCTCAGTCTGCAGAATGTAGGCGTGTGTGATCAGCCCCTCGGGAACGCCATGGAATAATTGCAGCTCCTGCATCGACAGCAGGTTCAGCTGGAGGGGCAGGCTAAGCGTCCGCTGCCATTCCTCCACCAGGTGTTCAGCCCAAGCCACGACCATGGAGCCTCGGACAATGAGGAAGTGTGCCGTCCACAGCAGTTCCTGCATGTGTTCACGGCTGATCCCTGCCTGCACGAAAACAACCTGGATGTACTACGGCTGGTCCTCCAAGCAGCGAGAGGGGGTCGGCCATGCCACAACATGGCCAGCCAGCACCCGAGGCTGGACTTCTGGTGGGCCCTGCAAGCCGCCATCCTTGAGACGCATCACCACGATCTTCAAGGTGGCGATGGCGATAGCCACCAGCAGCATTTCGCTGAGGTTCAGGGGTGACAGCAGCCTCCCAAACCGATTCCGCTCAGGCACATCCCCCATGTCCACCCGTGCCAGGCTCCAAGGCGGTACCTTTGCTGCTGCAAGGCAGGAAATACAGTGGCAGAGTGAATACATTACTGGGACACACTAAGCAGCATGATTCACATGCAGTACTCCACTGCTTCCGCTGCCATGTCACGACAATCTAGTGTCACGTTCATTTTACCGTCTTTTATAATCGTCCTAGGTTATAATCGGTGTGAATACGCGAATATCGTGTATAATCGCGTAAGGTGTTTGGTTCTTATCTTACACTTCGCTGATCGACTTATGGATGAGACGAGAATGTACGCTCGTTTGCGTATGTTTATGTATTTTACCTGTGACTTGATGATGTGGCTATTGCTGCTGCATCCTGCATCTGCCAGGTCAGCAACGTGGCTGTACTGCCATATGCGCTGCTATACAGGCCTGCCACAGTGGAGGGTGTGGACTCATGCACAAACACCAACAAAGCACCGGCAGTGTCATCCAAGCCAGAGCATGATGCTGCACCGTGCATCCCAAAGACAGGAGGCGGCGGTGGTGGCCCCGTCACCAGTAAATCACCTTGGGGGGAACTGCCGCTGTGGGCTGTATTTCCGTGCACAGAAGCTGCACGTTGGGGATGTCATCCCACGGAACCCACTGCACCTGGCACCGGCTGTGGATGCAGCTGCAAGCGGCACACAGCCACATGGGCATCTCACTGCGGATAAACTTCGATAGAAACACGTGTTTCTGCCTTTCTTTTACTTGCTCTCATTGCTCTCACTTTTTTCGGAAATATCACGTCAACTAGTCCAACTAGTACTACGAGTACGACATGCACATGTTCGTACGAGCACTATGCACCTTGCTGTCTGGGTAAGGACATCAATTTTACTACCGTTTTAGTAGCGTTATGTCACTTGGACGTACAATGTAATGTATGTATGAGGGCCTATGGCTTAATGGATAAAGCGCCGGTCTACGGAACCGGAGATTCCAGGTTCGATCCCTGGTAGGCTCGAAGGTATATGTGACTCAGATATCATCGACCCCTCCGCACACTGTTATGTACCCACTATTGTTCACCCACTCACCCATGAATCCCCCCTTTTCGTTCACATATATTCTAACGTGGACCCCAGGACCTAGGATGCAGATCCCACAAAAGGAGCGCCATAATTAGACCAATCTTAATGGACCGTGGCTGAATGCGACAACACATACATGCCAGCAAGGAAAATATGATCAAATATCATGAGCCCGAACATGTACATGTCCCTACCCGGATTCGAGCCGGGGTCTTCACGGCCACAACGTGATGTACTAACCACTATACGATAGGGACAGTCAATGTGAAAGTGAAGATACGAAGACGGATGTCAAAAATCTATCACCAACTGATCAAAAACAGCCAAATCTTTGCATGCCCCAATATGGGACCTTTGGACTGTCGGGGTTTGGTGGATTACTTTGGTGGCGTCCGCGTCAGAACACAAATTGTGTGCTGGATCCTAAAATATGTGTCGACTTCGGGAACTCTATTTCCGTTTTCGGGAGTTTCGGTACGACCCGAAGTGCCTGGAGCATTTGCCGATGTCTGACGGCAACCGCCGGGCATCATGGGGAGCACAGGGGTAGAAGAGGAGTAGAGAGATGGCTCGCAACCTTAGGGAAGCCTAAGACCTAGTTGAAGGGTTGGGTTGCCGTCTTTTCCTGTTTTAGCAGCGCTGGCAAATGCAGTCCCATGTCCCCACCTTAGTTCCTTGCTGTAGTCCTGCACAGGAAAGGAGGGATGCGACTGGTGTACGATTGCGTCATGCAGTTGGTCGCAGGGAAGCCTAGAATCTCACATTTTGAACACGAGAATGTGAATAGCGATTGCCGGGCAACATAGTCGTGAAACATACTACTAACACTGGTGGTCCCCTTCGGTTATTCCATCCACGTATCCAGGGGATGAAAATTACATAGACTGGAAAGGCGAGCCGATGGGACTGCACCTTGCGAATGAGTAAACCTGATGCCATGGGTGGGGATAATAGTGGGGAGTGGTCCCTATCAGGATAAGGCTACACGCCCCGAGTGCAGGGGAAACCCCACTGGGTTGGGGGTCGATCGATGTGGGTATGACGAGCATCTCGAATGCGGATCAATGAGGACAATAATACAGACGATCTGTTTTCCAGCCCGCATGTGTGCGTGTGCATTCCCGAAGAAAGTAAGAGCAAGTAAGAGGTCGGAAACACATCAGTATTTCTGACTTCTTCTTGCTCCTTTCTGAGGGCTACAGGGAGAACCTCGTTCGTGCATGAGTGCGTGCGTGGGTTTGTTCCTCTGCCGCTGATTGTAAGTTCGTCCTGGGGCCCTTGCTCCCATCATTCATCATAAACACCCTCTGCTGCTGACTGCCCTGCACTAGTAAGACCCATTTGAGTGCACTCTCGCACACCACCTGGGGAACAGTTCCGGTCACGAGGACGTCCAACACGTAGGGTTGGAGATAGGGGCAGCAGCCTGGACTTCAATAGACTCCAACTTGAGTCGCCGCCATCACCTGACTTCACACAGCCTCCACAGCAGCAACTCCTCACATTGATGGTCAGCTCCCTCAGTCTCCAGCTCCTCTGTACATGCATACACTCTACGAAGGGGAATGCCAGAAACAAGACCAACCATACAACGCCCCACGTAGGCCCCATAACACCGGCACACGGGTAGCAACCGACATATGGGCACCCGCGATGTGGTGACGGATAATGTGCCAGTATGAGGCACCAACGAGGTGTCGAGATTTGCATCGCTCTCTCGTGTGTACCGTTGCAGGGGGCCCCGCTGGAGGGCCCGTGGTACCTCGTTTTACACACATACACCATAATGAAAGGAATCCATCAAACTTTCAGGCTCCTCATGCTCGTAATCAGATGGAATGTCGCGAACTCTCACCCACATCGCAACAGCTTCCCCCCCATCCCGCGTCTTTCCCTCCCCTCCCCCCTTGGTGCTGTGGACGTTCTCGGCAAAATTGGTTCCAGGACTTTGCATTACACATGCCCTCCCTCCCTCCCGCATCGAACGGTGTGTATGACCCGGGATTCCAAGCTGGCCACGCATTCTCCTCAGACAGCCATGTGCCGACCGTGTAAGGGCGCTTTTCCCAGCCCTCTTTTTCCTTCGCCTGGGGGCTCCTCTCTTACTATGAATGGATGAATAGCCTCAGGTACAGTGGATGCATCCACATGACCTGGATCACACCACCCGGTAGAATTGCTGCTGCTGCTGCCGCTGCTGCCAACACAGTAATCCAAACACACACCGCTTAGATCAAGGCCGGCCAGCAAGCAAAGGCCCGAAGACCACGGAGACCAATGCCGCGACCCAGACAGCCCCGAACAATAATAAGAGTCACGCCGGGCAGACAGCACTATTGAAGGGGAGGTCCTCTGCACGGCGTGGACCAGGTGCCGCAGTAGTCAACAGCAACAGCAACAACAGGAACACTCGGCTCTCTGAAACACGAAAGAGAACGACCTTCCGGAATCGGCCTCGTGGTTGTGAGGGCTGTGAAGGCTGTGGCCATGCAACCATGCATCCGGACATGTAGGCCCCAAACCAGCAAATCAGAACCGGACATGAACATGTCCCTCGGGGGCCGCCAGCTGCCACCTTGCCAAATGCTCTGCTCCGCCTCTGTGCGACTGTGTCCTAGTACATGCCGTACCCGTACCCATCATCGTATCCTCCTGGTTCCCCGTACCCATCTCCGTAGGCGTCCTCCGGGAAGTAATCTCCGTACGCATACTGCACCTCGTAGAACTCCTCCTCATGGCGCTGCCAATACTCCCGTAACTCCCGGACCTCCCGCTCCAGATCCTCTTTGCTCGGGTTCTCATCACTGCCACTATGGCGGCTCCCCCGGCCGCCATTGTCGCCGTTGCCACTGTGGCCATTCAGCCGCTGCACCAACGGAGGCGGCGGCGCGCGCGGCATCATATCCTCCCCCTCCTCCTCCTGCACGCCCTCCTCCTCCTTTCCCGTATGCGCCTCCAAACTCGGACTTGACAGCCCCTTCCCCCGAAGCCCTGCACCCTTGTCCTCCTCCCCTTCCTCCCTCGCCTCCTCCTCCACAGCAACCTGCCACCTGCCCTTCCCTACTCGCTCCCCGCCCTCCCCACCCGCGGCCCTCCCAACACCTCCCCGCCCTGCAACCCTCCCTCGCCCCCTAGACCTCCCCCCTGCTGCCACGCCCCTAACTCCCCCTGCCCCTGCCCCTCCTCCTTCCTGCGCCGCCGCTCTACCTTCACCACCACTACCACCGCGCCCCGACCCTGGTGACACCCCAGCTCCAGCTCCAGCTCCGGCTCCCCCCGACGCCGCCATCAGCAGGCCCTCATCTCCCTCGTCCGCGCACATGACTGACACGCCCGTCGCCACATAGTAGAGCTCCTCGTCATCTGACGGCAGCATGGCGGCCACCTGGGAGTTGAAGACCGCCGCCAGATGCCATCGGGGCACATCCAGGGGGGTCACGTAGCCCTCGTCGCCCGCCAGCACCAGCTGGTCAGTGCTGGGCTCGCGACCCACAGCGAACTCCCAGGACTGGACGGGCGGGAAGCGGAGACAGGGTTAGTGCGGGGAGGAGGGAGGGGGACGGCGGAGGGGGAAGGGAGAGCAGGGAGGGGGAGAAAGAGGTTAAAGAGAGGGTTGGGGAGACGGCGGCCGGTCATACGAGTCCAGGAGACATGGTGCATACAAACAAACAAACATACATACATACATGTGTGTGCAGGGCAGGGCAGGGCAGGCCAGGGCAGGGCAGAGCAGGGCGCAAGGACCGGCGGGTCGTTCGCCAGCCAACCGGCAAGCAGCAGAACACACGATGGAAGGACAAAAATTAACGTCAGAAGACCCATCACAGCGAGAACTGGGAAACTTGCAAAGCCCCCAAAGCCTCAACCGGGCAACCTTTGCGGCCGGGAAGGCCCCCCAGCCATCAACAACAAAGAGCTACCGGACAACAACAAACGCCCTTTACAGCGCACCCAGTCGAACCAGACCGACCCCACACACGGACAGCGGCGGCTCGTAGCGGGAAAGCACACGGGCTCCGAAACATTATGATCTGTATCACAAAGTCACGGAATCCCATCAACATCTAAAATTTTCCCTGGGCCGGGCCGTACCCCGCAACACCGCACATCTGGATGACGATCCATACGCACAAGCACGCACCCCATAGCTCGGGTTGTAGTACAGCACCCGGTCCTCCCCGGGGGGCCCACTGTACCGCGAGCGAATGTAGATTGGCTTGCCCTCAAAGCAGCCCGCCAGCAGGAACAGCCCATCCATGCCGCCCGTCAACCGGTCGACATGGCCATCAGCCCCCTGCACCCGCAGGTGGCAAGCCTCCGTGCCGTTCAGCTTGAAGTCATGAAAGCTTCCTAGGTAATGGCAATTATCGTACGGATCTGCAGTACAGTGCAAGTACGGTAAGCAAAGCCGCGGACAAGGGGTTGGATGAAGGGGTAAGCGGGGTGAGGAAGGCAAGCGGGTGGGGGAAGGGCGGGAAGCCTACGAGTTCCCGTGGCGTCAGGGGATGAGTGATGAGCAGGCGGGGTGGGGTGCGATGTGATGTGGGGAGACCTCCGTGATGGCTCTTGGTAACCTGGGGACGGGGACAGGTGATGATGGATGGTGATGGACAAACGCTAGGATGGAGAGAGAGGCGCGCGAGAGTCTCATCGCCAGGTGTGTATTTTATCGACAGAGGGCTTCCTGTTGGTTTCTGTTGGTCTGGCCTGTGGTGCTGCTGAGCTGTGGAGCAGTGTTGTTGGGCTGAGCTCACTCCGCACAGCCACTGCAGTCCAATGGGGGGCCTTCCTCTGTGGAAGGACTCAGTGGAAGGGCCCTACCCGAGCTGCGGACTGTCATGGGTCCTCCGGGCCCCCGAGTTTTAGGCGTCCTGATGCTTCGCGAGAGCTGAGCGGAACTGTATTGGGCTGAGCTGAATTGGGTTCAGCTGAGCTCTTCCCCTCTCCTATTATACTCTACCCCTCTGTCCACTTCTTCACGCTGGCCCAGTATTGTGCCTTCCCACCCACTCTTTGAGTTGCTAACAGCCGCAGCTTTCCCACCCCAGGGGAGCCATCAGCACTGCCCCATCTAGTCGGCGCATTCGGACCGCCGCCGCCGCCGCTGTGCCATGTTTGCTCAAATGCATCTTCTTCGCCGGCACTTCCCCGCGCCGTTCGCTTTTTGGAGTTCTTCTTTTGGGTCAGCTGTCGTTCGGGTCAGTCACGCGAGGGCATGAAGTAGGTAGTTTGGTCGCGGGGGCCGCAGTGAAAGGTCGCCATGTACCGGCCTGCCTGGTTACGCTGACTGCAGTGCGGCCCTCCGTTTGGGGCCGCCTTCCGCTTCCTCGCCTAGTGGTAGTGCGCCCCACCTCTAAGGGCCCCATGGCCGAGTTGCGGTATGGCTGTGGTGTTTTAGCCATCGCAGCATATGGGAGATTTCGAAGTGCTGTATAGAACAGGAGCAGGTAATATTAGTTAGCTTACACGTAGGGTCGTAGTGGATGTCGTACTCCTCGCCGTTGGGCCCGACATCGTACATGTCAGGGTTGGGACACACGCCGCCGGGACAGGAGTGGTTGTCCATGGCCGGCGGCGCTACGCGCCCGTTAGGCCCGGAAGCTGGGAAGCGCCGATTTAGCACGCCTTTGCGGCCCGCCGCGGGAGGAGTCCTGGGGGCCGGATCCTCACTGTCACTGTCTTGCATCTGGACAGTCCAGGCGCGCGCCTTGTGCTGATCATCGTGCCCAAAGAGGCTACTGCGGCGGGGCGCATCTGATGAAACATACATGGCGCCTCCATAGCGGTCTCCGTAAGTCATATTCAAATTCATCGAGTATTCGTCGTAGTATAGGTCATCCTGGCACGCTGCACACTTCAACGTGCATAGGGTGAGGGCCACAAACGCGATTGCGTTCTGTGGCCCCATTTGCAGCGCTGTTCACGTTTATTCAAATATATTTTTATTTGCGCAGGGCGCAGCGTTTACATTTCAAGCGAAACCGGCTCCTTCTAACAGGTGCCTATCTCATATATACTTCCTGTAATTAATGACTGTCAGATGCAATGTAAGCGATATTCGTTGATCGTTGATCTTTGGAAAAAAGGAAGCCCCAAACCTGGAAGGTAAATGCGATTGCAGATTTTCAGGGCTCTAGTCTATGCGGATGGAACAATCAACGTGAAAACAAAACTACCAGAATAGGTTTATTACAATCTTTCTCAGCAAAGGCCTGAGGCAGTACCGGCGGTTCCGGAGCTTTCGATGGGGCCGGGACTGTCGACATTGGCGCTAATCCTTTTATCATATTCGGCATTTTAATGGGCTCATAATGCACTAGCCAGTAATGGACTGAGCATGACATTCGAACATAGAATATGGCTTGGACGCCGCGAACCTGGTGTTCGCGGTTGTGCCCACAAGCCAGAAGCAAAAGCAACCAGCTCTGTGTAACCTAATTCTACTTTTGTTTGTTGCCCTAATATTCTGAGAAACAGCAAGGCGCCCGGTCCGGTAACGAACTGGTTAGGTTACCTCCTCCGTTCCTCCTGCCCAACCTTCGCTGCCGTACCTGCCTGTCAATCAATTTCCTTTAAAGTGTTTGTTTAGCCTTACATGTTTCAGCCTGGACACGTATCTGGTTAATACGCTAAGAAACGACTCTTCTATGAAGCCCAAGCAAACCAGAACACATGCGGACCGAACCACGATTGCACGATGGAACCGCTCAAGGGGTTGCTGCCGCCCGGGGTCGCCATGTAACAAAATATTCCTTAACCTTCCCCGCACCCAACCCAATCCTACCAAGCCGTCAGCTGCTACCACCGTACTACCACATGCCTATCAGGATTGTGGACCTTACACTACCCACCCTACCCAGCTCGATCTCGCGCCAGTCTTCGGGGGTAGCGGGGGAGTGGAAAACTCCAAATTATAAGAGATTGCGTTCCCAGAAGAGTCCAGCCCTCCATAATCAAACACCCAGCGTGGTCACCATCAGCGATGCTGCACACCTACGAACGAACCATCCGTACAGGTTACCTTCCCCTTGTCCCCTCGTACCCGGGCCCCCCCTTCCCGCCCTCCCTCCACCCCTCCAACCCCCCGTTGCCCTGGTCCCGAGTGCCTGTCCAACCAAGTCACGCCGGCTACTGGACCTCTACTGCGCACTTACACATCACGTCAAAGCTGCAATAGGTCGTACGCTCGCCCAGTAGTCCGTGATCCGCACCAACTGCCACAACTGCGAATGTCCCGTACCGGGTAACCGTCACAACGACCTTAACTACCATGTCTCGGCGACCCTGGGATGTCTTCCTCCCGGGGGAGGGGGGATGGGGTGAGAAACCCAACATCCTCAGGTTCGTGCCTCCGGTACCCCCCTCCAAGCCCCTTCACCCGCCTTGACTCCCCTCTTTCCCCCTAAACCCCCGCCCGCCCGCCCGCCCGCAGCAGTAAACAGCTTACCAACAATGTTGACACTGCAAGACCATGTACAGCTGATCTGTACTATATACTTCGTACTACAATTCACCCCAGCCCCAGCCCCAGCCCAGGGCCCTTCACGCCTTGTACGCTCCCCATCCCACCTCCTCCAGCTTGGCCGCCTTCCCCAACACCACGTCCGTCATGCCCCTCTGGTACAACAACATGCGGTCCAGCATCTGGGGGTCATGCGCCGCCAGTATCCGCACCGCCAGCAGCCCCGCATTGGCCGCGTTGCCAATGGCCACGGTAGCCACGGGAACCCCCTTGGGCATCTGCACGATGGAGAGGAGCGCATCGAGACCGTCCAGGTGCGCTCCGGAGGGCCTTGGGGACGGGGGTGGGGGAGGGAGGGGGAGAGTGGGAGGGGGGAGGGGGAGTGGGAGGTGGAGTGGGGGAGTGGGAGGGGGGAGTGGGAGTGGCAAGCAAAGGGTTACATGCAAAAGTGAAGAATGTGAATATCGAAGCTAAGGGCGAGGGTGCGGGATAAGGGTGTACGGCTGCGTGGCACCGTACTAAGAGGTACGGCAGGGGAGGGATGTGAGGGGAAAGGGGGTGGTCAGGACAAGGGGGAAAACCTACAAGAAATGCCTAGGAAAGGGTGATGTGGCGGTGAAGAGGTGGTGATGAAGATGACTGAGGTAGCGATCGCAGAGGAGGACTTCGGTGTCCGCGGCGGCGCCCGCGTCATAACCCTACTTCTTCCCCCCCCCATACACACACACGCGATCTGGCTCACACACCCCCACAGCTCCCTCCCAAATTCTTACGCAACCCCCGACAGGACGAGGTTAACACGGCAGCAGCTCGATACCACTAAACAGTCCTCGCGTCCTGGCGAGGAATCCAGCCCTCCGCGCCTAAAACCCCTAAAACCCGAAAAGCAACCCCTAACGAAACCCATTAAAACCCTTAAGAGCAACGGCCTCCACCCCCCGAATAGACCTCTCGCAACAGCCCGCTTCCACTTCATTTCCTCCTCCTGCTGCTACAGCTGCTGCAGCTGCAGCTGCTGCTGCTCGTACACTCACTTTACGGGGACTCCGATGACGGGCAGCGGGGTCATTGCCGCCACCATACCCGGCAGGTGCGCCGCACCCCCCGCCCCCGCAATAATGGCCTTGAGACCCCGGGAGTGTGCCGTACGGGCGTACTCGAACATGCGCTCAGGTGTACGGTGCGCCGAAACCACGGTCAGTTCCAGCGGGACGCCGAACTCCTCCAACACGGCTGCGGCGGCCTGAGAGGGCACAGGGTGGCGTGGCCGGATGGTGGTGGTGGGGGGGGGGAAAAAGACGAACCACACACGATTGAAGCTGGTGGGGGGGTGAGGAAAAAGGGGGTCGGTGCTATATCGTGTGTGTATCGTTACTGCGGGCTGAAAGTCGGCGACCCCACTCCTATTCTCGAATTCCAGAATGCAAATTAAGCTTTAGTCTTAATCCACCACCACCACCACCGCTCTGCAATAATGCATGGGAGAGATACGTGGGGGGGACATCGTGTGTCGAGCTCTGAGTCGAGCTCTCAACACATGCTGGAGCGCACGACATCGACCTGGGCGAGGGCTGGTAGTGGTGGTGGGGGTGTGAGGGCTATTACTGGCAGCACTGGATGTCAACGAAGGACGTCTCCAATTATGCGGTTGAACTAATCGGGCGGATGCCTAAATCAGGGGGTGGGAGAAGGTTTTCTCCATCCCCTCCTCCGAGACACGCTCTTAGGTTCTGAACCCTTAACTTCCCCCCCCCCACACACACACATCCTTCCCTCCCCCAACCCCAACCCCCAACCCCGCCCTAATCCCCACCGTCCCACCTTCATCGTGGCCAAGTCCGAGTCGGAGCCCATAATGATCCCCACCAGCGGCCGGCCCCCCGCCGCCTCGCTGGGGTCTGCTACTGCCGAGGCGGTGGCGGCTGCTGCTGCTGCTGCCGATGTCCGCTGCAGTGCCGCCAGGGCCCCGGGGTCCAGCCGCCCCAACCTGGCGCGGGCCACCTCACGGGTGGTCGCCAGGATGTTGATGTGGCCCACCTTGCGGCCGACCTGCCGGAGGGGCGGGGAGGGGGTGCCGGTGGGGTGTGTGTGTGTGGGTGTGTGGGGGGGGGATGGGGGGGGGGCCGTGTGTGCGCATTGTGAGCGATCTTCGGAGCCGCAATGGTGATGATGGGGGGGGAAATGGCGATGGTGGTGCACCTCTTCATAACATCGAAACGAGCTCCGTAGCACTTCTGTGTGTGTGTGTGTGTGTGTGTGTGTGTGTGTGTGTGTGTGTGTGTGTGTGTGTGTGTGTGTGTGTGTGTGTGTGGTGTGCGGGAGGGGGAAAGCGCGGCCGGAGGGAAACAAACGAAGAAAATAAACAAACAAAACACACCGACAACCACGTGCGCCATACCAATCCAAACACAAACCCCCCAGCAATACCCATCACCCGCCACCACGCCCTTTCCACATACACACACAAACATACAAACACACGAACCCCGTCTCACCGTCATACCCTCCTTGCCGTACCAATGCACCTTGCACCCCGTCGTGTTGTACGCCTTGGCCATGGTTTCATGCGCCCTCCGCACCCCCTCCTCCCCGTCCGCCTCCCCGAGCAGGTTCAGCATGATGGCGGCGCCGCTGGTGAGCCGCGTCTCCCCCAGCGGCCAGCCCAGCACCGCCCGTACATGGTTCTCGAACTGGCTGGTGACGCAGCCATCCATTGTGTAGTGGCCGCTGTTGTGGGGCCGCGGGGCGACCTCGTTCAGCAGCAACGTGCCGTCACCCAGCAGGAACATTTCCACGCTGCGGGGGTTGAGGGGTGGTTGAGGGGGTGAGGAAAAAGGGGACCTCGTTTCGAAATGCCGACATAAAGAAGTTTGAGGTATGGATGTCTGCTCCTCCAGCTAATTCAACTACTATGAGGTACGAATCCTATCAATTTCCCCCTCCCCTCTTTCCCCCTCCCCTCTTTCCCCCTCCCCTTTTTCCGCTCCCCAGCCCTCTTAACACACACACGCAGGCACACACACACACGCACACAGACACGCACGCGTACCCGAAGATACCCGCGCCCTCCAAACAGGAGATGGCCTTCTCAGCCACCTCCTGCGCCTTGGCCTGTACGGCAGGTGACACGTCAGCGGGCGCCTCCGTCACGTGGCATATGTTGTTCTTGTGGATCGTCTCAACCACCGGGTACGACACCACCTTGCCGTCGCGACTCCGTACAACCATAACCGCCAGCTCCTTGACGAAGGGCGCGAAACGCTCCGCGTACAGCCCCGCCTCGTAGCCCCCCAGTGCCGCAGCGGCGGCGTCAATATCGGTTTCGGAGCGGACCACGTAATTACCCCGACCGTCGTACGCTAGCCTGCCGGTGCAGCGGTTATAGGAGGCGGGCGGGGGTTGCGGGGGTAAGGCGAACCCCTGACAATGGAAGCAGATACCAGAGATGTAGCAGTAGCAACAACAGCAGTAGTAGCAGTAGCAGCATCAATATTAATATTAGCAGCCGCGGTAGCAGCAATATTAGCAGCAGCAGCAGCAGTAGCATCAATATTATTAGCATTGGCAAAGAGGGAAGGCCGGGGATGGAGATGACGAGTCCAAGGCCCCTCATGGGAGCGGTGTGCAATACACACCGTACCACTCGTTCTTCCTTTCCAGGCTATGTATGTGTGTGTGGTTGTTACAGCGGCAGGCGATATGTCCTTTGGCTCGGTTTCTTTACATTACGGTATAGAAGCTTGGTAGCCCGCTGCAATAATAACAAGAACAACAACAATAAATATAATGTTGGATCTGGCGGCCTCTCCAGCCCCCACCCCCGGGGCCCCCACGACATACACACACACACGCACGCTCTCAACCCCCTCTCTCTCCCCCTCTTTTCCCCCTTCACAACTCGCAATCCTGGGGCCCCCTTCCGGCCTCTCCAGACCTCCCCCCACCACCCCCCTCCCCCCTCCCCCCACCCCCGCGCACACTACCTCTTGGCCTTGAGCATGAAGGGGTATCCAAACGCCCGCCCGGTGCCCTCCATGCACCCGCGGCACTTGATGTTCCGGAACTGGGGAAGCGGAACTCCGTGGGCGGTGAAGTGCTGCTTCTGAGCGAACTTGTCCTGGATGATGCGGATGGTGGCGGG